CCCCAAAGTGAGAAGAGTTCGTTTTAATTGGTAACTAAAATGATAGAGATTAATTACACACAATAAAATAGAAACATAAGTTAGAGCCAAATAATACACCATCAAACATAATCCCATGTGACAGAATGTTTTCAAGGGGACTTGGTTTCGGGACAGATACTTAACAATCTTACTCAAAGCAGATATCTACAGGTCCTTCACTGTGGTCACCTTACATGCTGAAGATGCCCTCCCTCTCCAGCTAGCCCTGCTCAGGTGTGCACAGCTCTAATCATTACAAAAGTCTCCCTGTGACTTAGATACATCAGGATTTGCTCAGTACTCTGAAATTTAATTTTCACCATGACAGCTTTTCAAATGTTATGTTTAAGGTAAGAAGTTTCTAATCTTCATTTATTCTTGTCTTCATTCATTGGAGAATTTATTTACTCTAGCTTTCATTTCAGATGCTGTCACATATTGAAATACATCCCTAAGGGCATCTTAAATTTACATCTAGAAGGTTCTACCTCTCCAACAGCCAACCAAGTCCTGAAAGCAACTCCCAGAGATAATAATGGACATAGACTAAGGGCAAAAGTGATTCTTCATTACTCAGTATCTATCCAGAATGTATTCTGCTTCAAATGTCAGAGAGTTAAGACAAAATTTATATGAGTTGATTCCCAAATGGAAAAAAATTACCTCTCTTTTCTCCCTTTCATTTTAAAAAGTTCAAAAACATTTCCCAACTCTGAAAATATCTTCTCACTGTCAGACCAAATGTGGTATTGAGAGCTGAGCTAATGCTTTTATTTGAACCAAACAGTGGAACACTAACTTTAATCTTCTGATTTGCAACAGAATGGGATTTATTTATGGAGGCAAATCATGAAGACCTTCTATCTAAAGGTGAATTACAGTCATCTCTGAAGGTATCTTCAGGCCAATGTGTACATCTCCAGTGAGTCAGATGCATTCACCAATCAAAGTGTACACAGGACACTATGTTTGAAGAGTGTTTTCTGGGCCACTTTATTCCTTCTGCCATATGCATTTGCAAATTATCTGATATGCCTGGATGAAGCAGATTAGCAAAGAATCTGGGCAAAAGCTATGCCCAATGACCAGACTGAGTCTGATCCAAGATGGCTACTATAGAAGGCCAATGGTGTTATACTTTAACTTAAAAGGTAGGGAAGGCAGCTCCCTCTTCCTACTGGAACTGAGATTTGTTTATTTGGCTTAACTGGAGTGCATAAAATAATAATTTGTATCCTCACACATTGCATGGGTCTGAATGTATTCCCCAAAAATTCATATGTTGAAACCTTAATTACAATGTGATAGCACTTGGAGATGGGATTTATGAGAGGTAATTAGGTCATGAGGGTGGAGTCTTCAGGAATGGGATTAGTGCACTTATAAGTCAAAGCCAGAAAACTGGCTGGCTCTCTTTCTCCACGGTCTTGTGAGGACACAATGAGAAGCTGCCAATCTGCAGAAGGAGGCCCTCACCAGAACCTGACCATACTGGCACCCTGAGTTCTGACTTCCAGCCACCAGTCTATGGGAGAAAATTTCTGTAGTTTCTAAGCCATCCAGTGTATGGTCCTTTGTTACAGAAGCTCCAACTGACTAAGACAAGCATAAAGAGGGCTCACCTCAGTTTCATAACACTGTGGTTAAAAACAACAACAGGCTACTTGGATCCTCAACTTTCAGTCCCTTGTTCCTTTAAGTATTGGTCTAAGTGCCAACTTCTCAATAAGATCAACAGTGACTAATTGGAATTGCAAAACCTTCTTCCTCCCACACTCCCAATTTTCTTAACCTGCCAGTTTTCTTCATTCAGATACTATAGCCCTTTGTGAGATGCCACATGGCTTACTGAATGACTCTGTATGTGTGTTAGTTGTTTGTTGTTCTACTTCCTTTCCTTTCCAACAACAACACACACAGGGAGATACAATTGGAAAGGGCCGTATCTTTTATCTATTTACTAACTTACCAAAAGTATTTAGGAGTTCCTGGCATCAGATGCAAGTAAAAAGTCATCCTGTATTGGTTGATGAATGAATCAATGACTCTGTGCTTAGAGCTGGAGAGTCCCCATTCAGTCCATACTCGCTGCATAACTCTGAAGCAACTACCATCTTTCCAGGCCTTGAGTTTCCTCATTAGAAAAATGGGGTACATGAGTCCCCACCTCTTAGGATCATAGCGAGGATGAGTGTGGCAGTGCAAATCAAGTGCATGGAATCATGCCTTGACGTGGTAAACTCACAGTAAGTGTTAGCTGCCATCATTACTGTTGTTCCGAGTGGTTACCCAAAGTGGTGATGGTTTCCAGTCTCAGGCCACTGGCCTGTCACCTGGCAGCATGGATCTGAGATGAGGAAAAGGCCCTCGGTAGAGCAGAGGGTCAAAACTAGGGGTCAAAACCCAGGGTTAAGGCTTCACCAGCTCCAATCCAACAATATCCAGGCCTTTGCAAAGGAGCTGTTAACAGCATAAGTGCTCCTGCCTCGGACCTGCTGAAGTAGCATGAACATAACACTGAAACCACTGAGTAAGTGATGGTGAGGCTCAGAAACCTTAAAAGGCAGGGAAGGCAGCTCCCTCTTCCTACTGGAACTGAGATTTGTTTATTTGGCTTAACTGGAGTCAGAACTAATGGTTCTAATGGCTTGGAATCCCCCAACTCATTCTCCAGATTTCTACACACGGACAGTAACTTATACTTTCTGAAAGATGATAAAGAAGAGAAAAAAAATGGTCCTCCATAAAAGAAATTACCAGAACATACTAATCATTTAGACTTTCGCTTATATTTCTAGAAAGCTAAAGATCAAGAATGGTATGGTTCCTTCCAGGAGCAAAATCCAAGTCTGCCTAAAGTCTATAAGAGGGAAGACTGCAAGCTGGACCATTAATCTGCATATTCACTAAGGATTTAGAAAAACAAAACACTTCGGAAATACCCTTTGTCTCCTTACAAATACCTTTGATCTAGGGGGAAAGTCAATGTTTAGGGATCTATGAGTTAGGAGGGGAGCAGAGTCTCAGTGCAGACCATAGATGAGAAAGAGGGATGGCAGAAGGGGGAGGGATGCTTACTGATATTTTGCCAGTAAAAGTCTTAACTTCCCTATTAATTAGGACACATCTTTCCAAGGTTAGTTGTCTCTAAGTGGACCATTAAAGCATTATGAGGGCCAAATGAAATGAATGAGGGCACATTCAAGGAAGAGATGATGAAAATCATGTCACAAAGCAATTTCTCCCTTCACTTTACAGAAGAAAGGCCTCAAGAGTTAAAGCTGGAATTAAATTCCACACTCCCAAGTTGACGCTTTGTCCTCTGCACAAGAACTTCCCAAAGCTGTAACCAGCACATGATAAATGATTGGGCAAATCCAGAAGGAACCCAAGGTTCTCACTATGTGAGGCTGACCCTATTAACCCTTGGATTACACTGAATTGGAAACTTCTACCCCATTGCACCTGCTCAGGTAAACCTCAAAAATAACTTTTTAAAAATGAAGGTATTTTCCAAGAGCAGAAGGAAGTGAGATTACTGATAAATACTTAAAGTTCTAACAATTCAACAATATTTGTAGTATTCAAAGGGCATTTGCCTGGTGCTGTCAACTACTATTAATTAGAAAATTGTATTTAACTTACAGATTTTTGGAGTACACATGAACACCAATGTCATATAGTTAAGTAGTCTCACTGCAGTCTATTAATAGGCATTCATTGATAATCTCCTCTTATGTTTGAAATATGTCATGCTGAAATTGCACTAAATCTGGAAAATGATCTTAATTCTCAGTTTCCTTCTATAGTAGAAATACTGTGTCCACGGGTTGTTTTCACTTTTTTAAAAAAAATAATATTTTCATTTTAAATAAGAAAAATGGTACCAATCCACCAAATTCCAACAGACTTATTTGCATAAATCTTATCATGCAATAACACAACACAATAAAGTTGACTACACCCAATTTTATATATAGCCTCACTTAGGAGTAGCCACAGGATGGGGGGGTGTGAAAGGGAAGAAAATGTGATGTTACTTCTGCTTCTCTGTTCTTCCCTAGCCTGTCTATTGCAGAGGAATCTTGACACACTTGAAAGGAAGTGATGAAAACTAAACACATTGTGCCTCTCCAGCCAAAACTCACAGTTACATCCCAAAGCCTCCTATTGGTCCCCTCCAATCAGCTGAGCATCAGAGGTTTTTCCTATAAAAAGTCCACAGTGCATCTAAATCTGATCCCAGTAAAATTTGACTTCAGCTGAAGTGAAAATGCAGAGGTAGCATTTACGGGTAACAGCTGGGGAACATTAGTTCCCTGTCTCTCCTTTTCTCTCCCAAGGGTTGAAAACTCTGCTGTTCAGACAGGAAGTCGTCATATACCACACACTGCACAATACGAGAAAGCTGGGAGGGAAGAACAAGTTGCTGAGGATTAGGTGGAGGGGTTTTGTTCAGTAGTGACTCTAGATTCTTCTTGGGCTGCCCTTTTCCCGAGCGTTCAAGTAACATACTGTGTGCACACCCAGATTGACAAGCACACACTACAGTGACTGAAAGTTTTTTTCCCCCTTGAGAACTTAGAAGGCTTAATACTACATTTTTCCAAACATTTTAAAATATTGTTTCAAAGACAATTTGGGGAGTGGCCAAGATTCTCCAATAATCTTTCCTGGCATACTTTCATATTTGCTATCGAAAAAGACGATCTTTAACTTAAAAGAAAATACTAAAATTGTTTTTAGAATAAATGCCCAGAATAAGGTTGGATGCATATAAGTGTATGTACATACACACATATATGTACACACACATATACATACGTATTCATATATATGGAATTCTAAACTTGACGATCTGGAAAAGAATGATTTATACCAGAGGTTCGTGTAAATATAGGGTTTTTAAGGCCCGTCCTGCTTTAACTTCACAAGGCTGTGAAGAAATGAAAAGATAGGAGCAGAGGAGAGACACCCACATTATGTGGCCTCAGCTCCAGTCTTTGAACAGGATGATAAGAGTTTCCTTCGCACCACATGCTGAATAGCTGTTCTGCATTCCTACCAGTCTGCAAGCTCTGGCCCCTCCTTTGAAACCGCCTGTCCTCTGGGGCGGGTTGTAAAACCGACCCAGTCTCTTCCACTCCACTCCAGCCAAGTTCGCTAGATACAAGCCTTAACTTTTGAACTGCAGAAAATGCCTTTGCCTTTTGCGAATCGGGGGCATGCTGTTAATCAACTGGGTTAAAACACTATGGTTTTATGCAAAGAGGGGGAGGAGGAACGAGGGAGAAGCCAACCCACACATCCATCACCCTTTTAGAAGTAGGCGGAGTTTAAAGTTTCCCCAACTTCCAAGTTCCCACTTGACAGGCAATATTTCTGTGTAACTTCCAGCCCCACAAAACAGATGGTCCTTTGCCCGTCTCGAGTCCCAAGAGAACCCAAAACAAAGCTCCTGGCCACTCCATGCCTCGCGGGATCCATAGGTGGTTAATTTCACGAGGCTGTCAGCCCAGGGCAGTTAGCAAAGAATGGAAGCTTAACTTATTCCAGAAGTTTTTCCTGCTACAGGAAAGTCCAGGGGACTGGAGCACAAAGGCCTGGGAAAGTTTCACTACGTTATTTTTCAACAACGTCTTCCGCCATCTGACAAGCCATCATCCTAAGCCCCAGGTGTCCTGGGGAGGAGAGTTGAGACACACGTGTTTATCAACACAGCAGAGGGGCGACTCCAGCAGTCCCAGAGACAAACCTGGGAAGTTCCTTAAGGGAACCCCCCCACCCCCGCCTGGTGGAAAGGAGCCCTGGGTTAGAGACCCACTCATTGATCACTCAGTACCAAAGGGAAAGGTGATGGCCCAGACGTCGTGCCAAATGGGGATGCGCCACGGCAGCGAGCAGAGCCTTCCTTCCCAGCTGGGAGGGAGAGAGGAAGGAGAGGGGGGACCGATCCGGGAGTCTGAAGACAGGCGGCCCACTCACCCTCACTGCCGTACTGTTTGCCATTGTTCGCGCCCATCCTGTCGCCGTCATGCCCGCCGTCTCCCCGGACACTGCATAGCTGGGCGCACCTCCTGCGCCTTGGGCCAGAGGAAAGCCTGTCCGACGGGACCGTTAGCTGCACATAGCCCCTCGCTCCGGGGCCGATCTCCGACGGGGGGCGGCTCCTGGTCTCCGGAGGGAGGGGGCGCTCGGTCCCCTCCTGGCACCCTGATTGTGGCGGACCCGGCCAGCGACAGCCTCCTCCCCTCTTAGAATCCGCGCTCGGGGCCGGCGGGAGCAGAGTCGCCGAGAGCCCGCGCCCCGGGGCCGCCCCGAGGCTCGCCGCGCCGCCGCCGCGGGGTCCCCATGCGCCCGCCCCGATCCCCTGCGAGGAGCGCTGAGCCGCGCGGGCGCCCTGACTCCCCGGCTCCGCAGCCTCCTTCGGGCGCGCCTGCTCGCCCGCGGCTTCCCGGGGGAGGGCGCGGCGGCCACTTGTTGCGGGAGCCCCGAGTGAGCGGAGACTTGCGGCCCGGCGCTGCTCGCCAGCGGGCCGGACTTTTGTTAGCGCCAGGCGCCTCCTCTCGCCGCCCAGCGTCAATCACAGCTGGAGCCCCGGGGAGGAAGGCCGGCCCGGAGATGCGCGGCCTTTTAAAGAAACAGCGCGCCTTTTCGCGGCTCCTGCCCGGGGCCCCAGCGTTGGCGCGGGTTCTGCGCACCACCCGCGAACCATTTGGAGCGAAGGAACGTGCTGCTGGCTCGGGTTTACTATTGTTCTTTTAAAGGCTTGGCCCCCAATCTGTAAGATGAATTTCCAGGCGTCGTTCTAAATACCCTGGGATTGTTTGCAAATATGGCCTATTTTAGGTGCGTGAGTATTTAAAATAAACATGATCAGTATCTGATTCTGACACATTTCAGGTGTACACGTTGGCATTCTGCCGCGACCCCCCAAGTTTGGGGACTAAGGCGAGAAGTGGAGCAAAAGGTGGGAAAACTTGAGAGGAACTTAGTAGGCAGTGAGTCCCTGAACAGCCAGATAGTACCCGTCCTGGAGAAGGAGGTTTCCTGGCTCAGAACTTTTAAGAGCTCCTGAGCCAGGAAGTGTATTTTTTCCTCCTCCTTCTATGACTTTTTTTTTTTTTTCTTGCTTTCTTGTGACTGGGGTTATCTTTTGTTTAATATCTTAGAACTTCTTTTGGAGATTTATAGGGCACGTGTACACCGTTAAAATGGTTCTTTGGTGTTCTTTCTATTAAACAGAAAAAAAGGAAATTCTTAATGATTTATTCCCTTTCCATGTAAATACCTAGAATTTTATAACATTACATCTTAGTAAAGACGAGAGCATTCATTGCACAAATTTCTTTGTAGGGAGGCAGCACATAGGAAGTTTCTACTTACAGGTGTTGGATGTTGTAAATTAAATTAAACGTACATAATGATGCATGTATATATCACATATAGTACTTTATCAGAAAATCACGAGTTTTGTGATTATGAATTTCGTTAAGAGACTTGCAACCACATGCAGAAATTTTAATGATTTGACTTCCTATAAATTTAATATGGGATAAGTTCCTTTAATTTGCTACAACTATCTTTCTTTTTTTTATTTTTTTAAATACATGACAATAGTGGAATGCATTACACTCATTATTACCTCTTTACAGCACAATTTTTCATAACTCTGTATATAGAGTATGTTTACACCAAAGACAAGATAAAATATGATTCAAAATTTAAAAATCTAGATTAATTATAAAAGAAGTATCCAGTGTTGAAAGAAAAATAACAAATTTGTCCATTCTCAAGGATAAGATAAATCCTTTGTTACTGTACTGATGACGTTTCTATGGTCCTAGTCCAAAACATGATGTGTATATTTTAATTCACCTTGTGACATCTAGTATCTAGCACTCCCTGGGCAACAAGCTGTGTTTCCCAAATGTCTGATGAATTAAATTTAAAAATTGTGTTATAGGCTCTAAATAAGATAAGTTATCAAAAAAAAAAAAAAAAAACAGAATACTTCACTTAAATATATTCCCTGCTTGTATAATTATATCAAAATGGATTCTGCTGTTATATATAACTAAAAAGAACTAATAAATTTCAAAACAAAACAAAAAGGAATAGTGAATGAGTTTTCAGAGTTTCTTCCTTAAATCTGATCTACAATGAAGCTAACATGAACTTGATCTCCATGCACAAGCAGAGTGCCACCTGAGCCTTGTGATTTTGTCACCATTTGGAGAACTACCCTGGATTGTATCATTCTGGAAGCTTAGTTGAAGATAAACTTGCTGTGAAGTAGAGTAAAACTCATCTTCATGTTTGATGGAGAGTTGACAACTTGCCTTTTTATAGACTGTTCTCCCCCTGATGCCTTCTTTTGAGGTGCCCAATCGGGAAACCTACAAGAGAAGAAATCGAAGCCTGAAGCTCAAAGAACTTAGAGTCACTCAGGATGTGATTCAGGTTTTCAGGTTCTCTCCTCACTCCACAGTCTGTTTCTCTCTCTCTTTCTCTTTCTTCCCCTCCCCCACCATAATGGGGATGGAAACCAAGGTGGGTGCTCTACCTCTGAGCTACATTCCCAGCCACAGTGTCTGCTGACCTGGCTATTATTTAAGTTTGAGTCACTGTCCTCCCTTTTTGGTTGGATCAGCTTTCAGGATCTTTAATATTAAAGTAAAGCTAATGGTGAGAAGCAAATTGTAGTGACCAGCAACATTTGTCTTCTTTGAAATTAAAGTCTGATAAATATTGTTCAAGATTTTGTTGCTTGCAGCAATGGGAATAGGGATAACTCAGTTCATGAAATCCAAATTAAGATAAAATAGAAAAAAAAACACTTTACATTTTAAACTCAGTCTGATTATAGAAGTTGATATAAATGTATGTTGACCCAGTCACTGTAAAAGCTTGGGGGAGAAAAAAAAAACAGTTAAGCAAAAAGAAACAAAAGCACTAATCCTGATAATAATAAAGGTACATTCATATGTGTATATATTTTAATATTCAAAATTAAATGTATAAGTATACGATTTTAATCTAAAATTCTAATCCTTTTACCTAACTTCCAAACCTAGCCTCTGAAATTTTAATACCAATTTGCAAGCTTCTTGAGTCAAGGGTGGTGTGCTTTTCACCAACATATTCCCAATATTGAGCAGTCACACTGTACTCGCAAAATGAATGTTGAGCAAAGAGATAAAAATGATCTGAATGTTATTGCACATCCTCTGCCTAGGCTTATTTTTTTAAAGGGTCACAATTACTATTAAAATTGTTTTTAGGTAAGGATATGTTATGGTTTGGATATGAGGTGTCTCCCCAAAAAGTTCATATGACAAGTAGGAATGTTCAGAGGTGAACTGATCAGATAATGAAAACTGTAACCTAATTAGGGGATCAATCCATTTGATGGACTAATAGTCTGAATGAAGTCTACTGAGTGGTGACTGTGGGCAGGGACAGTGTGACTGGAGGAAGTTTCTCTCTGAGGGCTTATGCCCTTAGGGATTCTGTTTCATCCTTATCTCTTAGCACTCTCTGTTTCCTGGTCACCAAGAGGTGAGCAGCTTTCGTCCCCCTGTCCTTCCACCATGATCCTTTGCCTCACCTCAGGCCCAGGTAGTGGGGAGACCATGAACTGTAGCTCTGAAACCATGAGCCCAATATAAACTTGTCCTCCTCAAAGTGGCTTTTGTCAGATTTTTTTGGTCACAGCAACAAAAAGCTGATGTACATATACTCTAAGTCAGTAAAAAGGGAATAAAAACATACAGGTCAAGTGTCCCTTTTCTAAAATACTTTGAACAATAAGTGTTTCGGAATTTGGAACTTTAATGATTTTGAAATATTTTCATAGACATCACCGGTTGTCAAGATGACACTTAAAAAGTTCTGGATTGGGGAACGTTTCAGATCTCAATTTCAGATTTTCTGATTCAAAAATCCCCAAGTAGGTACTAGGTACCTGTTGTTTTTCTTCACCAGATCCTGCCCCTCCAGAAACTGTTTTCTCTAAATTTCTTCTATAAGTTTTCTATGAAAGCTGGTCAATCATGTTAGAGGTGGAAACTGCCTGGACACACTAAGGCCCATGATCTGACTCACACAACCAACACCCCACCTGGCAGTAAGGACAAGCAAGTGCCTCTCTACCTCCCTGCTAGAGTAATATCAGAGGAGGACTAGTGGAGAAGCAGGACTTTTCCATTGCCCAGGCTAGCAGGGCCACTGCATGGCAGTATCCACAGAAAGCACACGGACA